GCCAGCTGGCTAATAAAGACTCTTCTATTGACTTAAACCATCTCTGAGTAGTCTTCTGTGATAGAATCCTCACACCACCACCAAACAGAAGGGATGGTCTACATTGACAGTAGTCGATAGAGCACATAGATGGTCATTGGAAGTGGCTTGCCCGAAGAAGGGGGTATATCATCTGGGGGAGCCTTCTCTAAGGCTTCTAACTGTCGTTCAGCTAAGGACAGTCCCCAAGGAGGGTTTCATCCATGAGCCATCAGTAATCAGCACTCTAGCACTGAGGGTCCTAAAATGGGCTCTGCACAGCATCTATGACAACCTCTCTTGACCTCAAACAAGCTCAGCCATTGTTAGGAGTGTTTCAGGATTCCAGTTGACCCACTTTAGTGAGGAGCAGAACCTCGTTGCCACCACTACTATTACCCCAGAGGAGTGCTCCCACCCCACCCCTCTGTTGAGTCAGCACCTCTATTGCAGGCGGCTCATCTGGTGGAGTGACCCACATTTCCATCCTGAGCTTCCAGAGCCCCTTGTCACCAGGCCCTTCTCAGGCGTGGTTCTGTGCTTGTCCTATGATCTTCAGAGTTGGGTGGGAGAGTTTTCCTCTGTCACAGAAGAACTAGACCTCACTGCGCATTAGCATCCCTGACACCTCACGACAAGACAGTTATTCCTTTCCTGACCTTCTGGTCACTTGACAATGAGCCTGGTTTCAGCAAGAGGCGTCTGGAACTGAAAAGTTTATGAGACTTCCTGACTCCCTTCAAGAATCGAATGTACTGTGTCCTGCAGGGATCAAGACTGCCAGAACTGAAGACAGACACAAATTTCAGTGGTTTCTGCCCTAATCTGCTTTCAATTACTGTGATAAATATCATGACCAAAAAGCAACTTGGAGAAGAAAAGGTTGATTTGGCTTACATGTCCCAATCAGGTCATGAAGAGGGAGGTTTGGTTTACACGTCCCAATCAGTCCACGGTGGAGGGAAACCAAGGCAGAAGTTGAAGCAGAGACCGTAGAGGAACACTACTTCCTGGTTTGTTTTTCATTGCTCATTCAACCTGCCTTTTTTTTATACAGCCTAGGACCACCAACCCTGGGGTGGCACCACCCACAGTGGGCTGTACCCTCCCTCATCTTTAATCATTAATCAGAAAAGTACTCCACAGACTAGTCTTCTGGTCAACCTGATGAATGCAATTCCTCCATATTGAGACTCCCTCCTCCTAGTTTGTCATATTGACAAAAACCAACCAATATAGTGACAATAAGAGAGGCCACTCCTACCTCTTCTGGCTCCCACTGCCAAGTTTACTACTCAGAAACCAAGGCATCATTTACCTGCCTCCTAGAAGTGAGCCCTTAGGGCCTCACTGCCATCACCTCTTCATTTAAAAGTCGGCGTTTTGGTCCAGTACAAGGCTACACTCAGACTCTCATGGGTAGATCAGATACACTGAAGCCCTCAGAGTCTCTGCCAATGAATCAATTACCCCATACCTACCACAGAAGTGCAAGTGATTCTGGGATATGTAGTCTCCGGACTGGGTGTGTATGTTTCCAGATAAAACTGATGAATGAATGAATGAATGAATGAATGAATGGCTGCCATCAAACCGTAGCAGTTTGTGCCACACTGATGAAGCACAGCAGCAAATCTCACAAATTAAACGGAGAGTGTCTGCGGAGCCGGAACATGCTGGAAGAGCCTGGCCTTTTGAATCAGTCACAGAAGAGTAGCAGAGGGACACAAGCCACAGCCACTCCACAGCAGCTTCCATTGGTTCAGGTCATCTCTGATTGGCACACCCATCCTACTTTCCCCTTTAGCCACGGAGTACCTCTTTTCTGTGTACCCACATGCTGTTACCCTGACCACGTTCCCAACTGAAAATACCAGTGACAAAACAAGTCTCCTCTCCATCCATGGAAACAGAGGGCTTCTGGTGGCTGAGTTGCTGTGCAGTGACAGAGGGGATGCTGTGTGCAGACCAGACCCCTCCTTGTTGAATTGAGCACTTGTATTCTAAGCTGTTAGCAACAGGCTTAGAGCAGAGCCTGTGGCCAGGAACAGGCCTGAAGGGAGCTGCCTCAGCCCGCACTCAAGAACTGGACAGAGTGGAGAGACCGAAGCCCAACCCTCTGCCCCAGTTCAGGCCAGCTCCAAAGGGCTGTCCCGGTCCCAGGCTGTCATCGCATTCTGGATCAGCTGGGGCCACTGCCAGGACTGCATTGCACCTATGTGTCTCGTTGCCCACGGCTGCACGGCTGCACTCCTCAGTCTCTCACCTGCTTCCTGGATGCCTCACCAGCAATGCTCCCATGGAGAACCTCCCCCACTCCTCTCTGAAACAAGGCAGAAGTCTTGGAGCCCAGATTGGCCAGTTTACATTCATAAGTGTGCCACAGCTCTGTCATGTACCCATACCCGTGTCCTAAGCAGAAAGGGGCAAAAGAGGAAGAAGAGAGGAAGGAAGGAAGGAAGGAAGGAAGGAAGGAAGGAAGGAAGGAAGGAAGGAAGGAAGGAAGG